CTACTTTCAGTCTCTTTGCTATATATGGTTGCATGGATTCCATACTCTACAATTGCACTTATTCAATTATTTGCCAATAATCAACTACTTGCCTATCTTCTCTCAAGATATTTCACTTTTATTCCATATTTACAGACTCTGGCATTACCTTACATTTGTCTTTTCTTTATGCCCAACATTAAACACAAGTTTTATAATGCACTCTTCGTATCATGTTGGGATAAAACAATCCGTCGAAAGAATCAAGTACACATCATGGCCAAAGAACATTGTTCTGTTATTGCTGAATTGCCTTTAGTTAGTTAATATACGATGTTTTCGATTTTGATTAAATAACTTTTTCTTTCAATCTAATTCATATGATGTCCGACTATCAAACGAATCATGGAATATAGACAGTTTCCAGAAAGATATATCTCTCAGATTACATTGGAATTATTATCATATCGTTTTCTTTTTAGTTTCAGTTTGAATTCTAGTCATTTCTAGAGATGCTGACTAATTAGATTAAATAGAATGAGTAGGAAATCACAAGAATTGAAAATTGATGTAGTGAATAATATTGTACCTATAAAATTTAGTCAATGAATAACAAAATTTGAAATTCATTTATTGACTTCTGTCAAATCTTAATCAAGTTGATAAAACGATATTTCTAACATATCGGCATGATCATTAAGAATTTTTTGAGCACTTTTCGCAAAATTTTCAAATAAAATTACTTTTTAGGCAGTATTTTCAAAAGAAAAATCTGTCAGAGTTCTATGAAGCATCATGTCAACATAACCAGCTATCGATTATCTTTCATAAAAAGGATTTTAGGGTGTGGGTGGTAGGTAGAGCTCGGCGGTTCCGATTTCGGTTCCTAAAAATTGGAAACGAAACCGTTCATCTAATGTTGAAAAATCAAATAACTCACATAACTGATTTTAGACATTACGATGGTATTTTTCCAAATGATTTATATTTTTGATCAAAAAAAAAGACCATTTTGTTGAAACTCTAAGTGAAAAAAGTAAGAGAAATTGTTTTAATGTGAAATAATTTTATCAAACTGCTTATTATATAAAAGCATTCTAAAACCAATTGGTATCATCATTTTATGTGTCTTTTTCATGATTATCATAAGCAAAATTAGTGTCATCTGCAATTTTTTTGAATTTCTCAGTCATTGCTATCATTGCATCTATGCAGAACTCTTGATTACAAGGTGAAATTACACACGATGAGTTTTTATACACGGATGGCATTAGCACATGAAATCTTTAAATAATGTACGAAGATAATATCAGCATATAGACTATTTAGAACTTATATCATTAAAAATTTCCTTCATTTCCTTTTGCCCAGGACTGAATTATTTTTAAAACACAGATTGTTACGAAATTTCAAAAATGAAAACTTTTTTGAGGATGATCTAATAATTTAGCATTTTCCTATGAAACAAAGTGATTTGCAAATAAATGTTCTACATAAAAATTGATGAGTTGTTCACATCTTCTGTTCATCTTTCAACAATAATACAAATGTAACAATTTAGGAAGTTACACTTTTCCATGAAATTAGTCAATTACTCTAATTTTGAGACCGATGATGTTAGGAAAATAGAACTTATTACCACTGCTCAGTTAATTAACTAATGGTTTATAACGTGCTCGAAAATGTTTCAATAGTCTAGCTTCGATTGCAGCAACAGTTTCCTATATTTTTTGTAAGCTTGAGTCCTTATGAAAGCGTTACCAATCGGTAGTTTTGCCCATGTATAGATGCTTATTTCTACTATAAGTAGAAGTGAATAGGTTACTTGTATAACATTTTACGTTACAAGCAAGATTCTGTGTAGTAAATGGATGAAAATTTTTTCTCGAAAAATCATAGAACATTAGAGAAATGTAGATGATACAGAAGGTCAAAAAAAATTTTCGGTTCCAATGGTTTCAATTCCGGATCTATTCTCTTTTTTTCAAGGTTCCAGGCCCAGTTTCGGATAGGAGAAACTGAAAAACCGGTTCCAAGTTTTGTGGAACCGCCGGGCTCTAGTGGTGGGTGTGAGTCTGGACAAAGATGAGAAGAACTCATACCCACACTCACATCCTAAATAGCAGAAAAAAACTTCTTAATAAAGTAATACTTACTGTACACTAAGATGATTAGATGAACTAAAGACAAAAAAAAAGTTATTTTTAATTAAATAATAGTTATTGTACATTGACATGATTATATGATCTTAATAGAGGGGAAAAGAATATTGATTTTTATATACCCATGTCAAAAAATCAGACATAAGATCTGGGAATCAGAAGTCTAATGGTATATGATCTTCTAATATCAGACAGAAATCGTACAAAAAATCGTGGTATCTGCAAAACTTACATCAAGTCTTGATGAACGATTCTTGCAAGAATATATTAACCTATGGCGCGAAAGACTTGACACAAAGTCTACAACAAAATAAATTCATTTTGCAGTAGATTTTGTGTCAAGACTTGATGTATGTTTTGCAGACATCACGATTTTTCGTACGATTTCCGTCTGACATTACAAGATCATACAAGATCAGAGATGTGATCTTGTGCAATCTTACCGTCTGATGGTTTGATCTGGATAATAACAGCTGTTGTTGAAGTTTCTTGAAAAATCGTCGATTATTCGCATTTCATTGTAATATCAAACAAGACACTGAGTGATCGTGATTAATACACAATCTATTTTTTTGATTATGTCCATTTGATTTGCATATTCATTCAATATTATGGCATCTTCTTCATACAGAATTGAATAAAATTTGACAAAGCTTTATCAACCAAAAACAATCTTTTAATTGTACACTCGATAGTTTTGATGATTCGTACGGTCAACGTCAGATGTTTCAATTCTATTTATCGTTACTTAGTCTTGATTTTATTTCGAATCGATTTCCACTTTTGAATGATGTTAAACCTTTCGAAAATGTTTTGTTTCTGAATATGTTTCTTAAGTTTTACCTAATCTCGAAACACTTGAAGTATTTAAATAACTCGAACATGAAGAGAAAATAGAGGCTACAACGACTAATTCTATTGATTTTAGTCACTTAAGTATACTTATGTTACATGACATTAATGTTGATTATGCTGAACAACTTGTTCGTTAAGTTATCTTTTATGTTTAGTTGAACTTGTGAGTGGGTGTGAGTGTGAATATTTGATAATCTTCTCATCCACACTCACACCCACATCCTATGATGAATTGATATCTTGGGAAGGTATCCCCCTCGGAAGTCCATATATCTATATGTAGGCCTAGCCATGGTAGATTCGACTGCAAAATCATTTTCGTTGAAAGTTTCTTTTTTTTATATCGAGTCTTATCGGAAATATCGATTAAAATATTTTGAAAACTTAAAATCAAGATTAAAAATAAAAGATGGCAATATATTAGTCATAGCCTAAATAGTGATGTATCACTTTAAGGCTATTTTGGGAATAATAGTATTTTCGAAATTTTTTTATAG